GATGCTCCACCAGAATCACAAGGCAGGATGGTCTCCTGACTGAATCACAAGACACAGTGGAGCATCCCCTTGCTCAAATGTTTCATAAGCATACATACATTCATTTTATAATCATCATTGAGCAAACCTAACACCCAGGACAAATATTTTCCAGATACTGGGGAAAACTGTACTGCATCTGCAGAGGAGCAGTCAATGCCTCCTTGTTGGTGAATGAGTTTTAATTTTCACATCTATGCATTATAACAGTATGAGGAACAGCCAGAAGAGTTGTTTAAGTTTATATTTTAGCCAAGCAAACTGGACCACTTCATATTAATCAAAGTAGCTGCAATAAGTTAAAGTAGAAGAAGAATGATCCAGTTAAATAAAGTATGCTCCCACTAATCTCACTGAACAGAGTTTTAAGGAATATCAGCACACTTGCAGACAATAATGTTCTACTTGCAGACAATAATGTTCTACTTGTACAAGTAAAATTTTAATTGTAGTTTTATTAGGTTTTTCATTTTCCTGGAGACAGTGAAACATTTAAAAGGAAAAGTCTGGTCAGCAAGGAATAATCAATAAATCATTTTTATATCTAAGACTAATATGTTAGCAGTTATTTAATGAATTTAATGCTAATGTGGTTTATACTCAGAAACCAGGTTGTGGCATGGCAGACAATCTGCATTTACAAAACTTTCTGGATGGTCCCATCTTCAATCTGTCCTGTATTCCTAAAATTCTGGAGAAAGTAGCTGCCTCACAACTTTACTTTAACCTTACCCACTATAGACTACATGAAACATTCCAGTCTGGTGTCTGCCCTGGCCACACCACTGAATCTGCATTCTTAAAAATTACAAATGACCTCTTTATTGCAGCAGAATCTGGTCTCCTCCGGTAAGTTAGAATGCTTCATGATGTCACACTTCTAACATGTATCTATACATATTTGTCTGGAATGTGTTTTAATTTAAACCTTCAGCCAGAAAAATTAAAAAAGTAGTCCAAGCGTTTATGGATTAATTTAATTAATTTAATGATTCAAACAAATATATCCACAGGATTACATGTAGAAGAATGTAAAAATAACAACATAAGATAAAAATACAAAGCTCCTTCAGTTTAGTCAGATTTTAACAAGTTTTAGGAATATTAGTGTGCAGTATCAAATACAGAAGAAACAAAATGAAGATTTAATTTATTCCAAAGATTTACTGGTTGATAGTGAAGAAAAACATTAATTGCTCCCATTAAACATTCCCCTTCCCATACATTGATATAAGCAGTTAACTTTCAAAGTACAGTAAATATTGATGCACAAACTCAATTTATTTATCAACATACATATATGCCGTATAAAACCCCCCAAAACCATAAGCTATACCATTAGTAGAGGTGCTGCTACTAAAACAAAACTAAAACTAAATGTAATTATTAGGGATGTCCTTTAATTAGCACAATAATCCAGCAGCATTCCTGGCTCAAATGATGTAATAAAATAGTTAGCATTAGTATTTTACATTTGCACATTTTCCTTCTTAATATTTTGGATAAATCAAAACCTAAATATACTGAAATCAACATTGTTTTCTTCCACTTTCAAAACACAAAAGTTACTTGTTTCTTGTGTACAGTAGACAAGATTTATGTTTGCAATATAAATAGGGTATGAGTTAGTTGATTAGCCCCTCAAAACCTGCCATAGTGCTCATTGTCCGCTACGTACTATTATCAAATAGTCTTTTCTTTTTTCTAGCAGTACTTTGTCTTTATTAATTGTTAAAACACTCTCAAAGGTTCAGCCATTCCCCTTGGGATCCGGCACCATCATGCATACCAAAACCACCCTAAAGCTGTTTTTCACTATCAGCCCTGGAGGTGTGGCGTTCTATCCTTTTTAGAAATACCTTTACTTCAAAACACTGTACATTCAAATAATCAAGTCGTTAATAAAACTCCACTGCATACTGATCAGGCAGTTGAGCCATTTGATTTGGATGTGTTGAAACAGAGACGCATCTAAAAAGTACAGGACATTAGACTGCAAAGACTGGATTTGAAGAAACCTGGCTTTTAACACTGTAACACCGTTTGAATTTTTTTGCCGGCTGATTTGACTTTTCCCCAGACGTTCTTGATCTTGATTCTGGTCCGTTCATCACCTTTGTTTTTCATTTCCTCCAGTTTTTGAATCTTGTTTGCCTCTCCTATTTCCTTTAGTTTTTTAATGAGAAAATCATAGTCAACAAATGTCGAGACAGAATTAACATTCAAGGCAATCTTTTCCAGTTTGTTGACATGTTGATAGCACTCATTCAGCAGCTGTGACTTCTCTGTGCGAAGCTTTTTCATGTCTTTGTCAAGGTGTCCCAAAAAATTCAAACCTTGTTCTCGTATTGATCTACTTCTAATCTCATCCAGACTTTTCCGAACTTTCTTTGTCCTGTTCACATATCTCCACTTCCCTTTCACATGAGCTGACACTGGGCACTTTAAAGTGCAAACGGTGCACTTGCCATCTTTCATCACCTCACAGTCCTCAGGGCTTTTAGAACTTGAACATCCAGGATAGTGGCAGTTCTCCTCACAGATGGTACAGCAAACTGCTCCTTTGACTAAAACCATCAGCCACATCTCTCCCTCAATATCTTCTTTGTCTTTGTAGGCCTCATTATATTCTACAGTGACCGTGTCATCTTTGGTCATGTTTTCGTCATAGTTCTTCAGAGCGTCTTGGATCTGTTTAATCTCTTTTTGTTTCAGCTCAGACAGTTTGATCTTTTCTTCCAGGTTTTGGATGCAGGCGGACAGTCTGATACGTTCATTGAGAACTTCCAAGGTCATGCCTAGTTTTTGAGGCTCAGTGTTACCCAGAAAGGCAGCAAAGCCACTCAGCCCTCTAAATGCTACTCTATCAGCATATTCAAAGAATTCTGGTTCCCCTGTTCTCTCCTCATGTTGGCAGTTGTTAAACAGGAAGTAAACTGGCTGTTTCTTTTCATCTTTTGCACACTTAATATTTGCAGCTTCAAGAGCCTTAAGCACATCATTTGGTTTTCTTCCAGTGGAGTGAGTAACCAGCGCTACAATGTTTTTCTCTATGTCCCTTCCAAACAGAGACATCACTGAATTGAAAATGTACTTCAGTCGGTCACTGAGACGGTTAACACTTGACTTCAGCACCAAACCCACGGCATCAAGCTTGTGAATGCCATCGCTTGATCGAAACAAGTCAAATAATCTCTCACAGACAATGACATCACGATCATAGCCTCTGGTGTCTCCAAAGCCAGGCGTATCGATGATGGTCAGAGAGAAGGGAAGGGTTTTACCTTCAAAACCAAAGACCTCATATACAGTAACATCTGATGTCTGACTCTCTACCTGATTTCTATTCTCGTCTTCTACGATCTGAAAGCAAACTTTATCCTCAAACTTCACTCCCATGGCATAGTTGACCATAGCATTGATCAGAGTAGATTTTCCTGCTCCTGTTTCACCAACAAGTAAGATGGTTTTATTTGGTTTGTTTTGTTTCTTTTTGCCAAAAGTCATTCTAGACACTGTCCCCGAGGTTATTTTTCTTGTTTTAAGCTGGTAGACAGCAGGGGGTCCTGGTTTGAGGGCAACACTGTTGGATTTTATATATTGTAGAGAAGTGTTGTCAAACCTGTACAAAGAGCAGAGAAATTGGGGTTTATTTAAATAAGATAAACATTTAAAGTTTAGTCAGAAACTGCAGCAAGAATACATCCCCAGTCTTAACATTTTCATTTTACTGTTCTTTATGCTGCCCAACTGTGGAGTGAGCTAATAATATTTATCTAGAACATCATCTGGTTACAGAACAACAATTCTTATGTTAACAAGGTAGTTGGACCCAAGATCTGTTTTATCTCTGACAGCGAGTAAAGGGTTGGTGAATTCTAGAATATTTCCTTTAAAATAAACATGATGATTTCATCAATTATAAACATGTGGCTCATTGAAACGAGAATATGCCTTTCTTATAGGGGTGTAAATCACATCCATCATGGCAATTCGATTCAGTATCGATTTCCTTACCCAACGATTCGATTATTTTCAATACTCAAGAATACACCACGATGTGATTCGATTCGATTAATTGGTTGTTTTTTTCCTTCACCTTACAGGCTAGACAATGTTTCAAATTTGAAATTATTCAATGACAGCTGTAATATCGTTATTTTCGCTTTTTTTTTTTTTTAGTACTACAGCAAATAACAGAAGTAGAAGAGTTGCACTCCACCTATTCCAATTAAAACCTTATTCACTGAAAAATAATAATACCCCTGCGTTATAGATTCTTAAAGGCCTTGCATCAAAAAATACTGCCTTTTTCCTCCTGGATCCCTGTTTTTTTTTGCCCTCATGTTCCTCCGTCATCGGACTAAACTCGCCCCCTCTTCCTCTCCGCCTTGGCCGAATCTAGACCCACAGCGTGTAGCACAGACCACGCTTCAATATTGAGCATAAATCAAAAATTTAGGTAGGAGGGCAAAACAGGTTTAGCGCCACCGCAGCACGGGAGGGAGAATTACGCCCAGGAGCAAATGGATAAAAATAGACCGGAGGAAAAAAACATGAATCGATTCTCTTGCGGACGTATCGATTCATCGGATCGTCGGCTGTTGGATCGATGCATCGATACAAAACGATTATTATTTACACCCCTACTTTCTTAGTGTAAATATTATTTTTTTATCGTAATCGTAATACAGTTTTCTCTTTTGTTTAAAACACCAATAAAAATGTTAAATAGAGAGTAGTTATCTGAACCAAGTTATTTAGCAATTAGTAAGGATCTGGTTTTCACTATGTGTCCAGTGTGTCCATATAAAGAAATCCTTGTAACATAAAACCTTAAATATTGATTGGACTTACTTGCACTCAATGACTGATTTGGCTCCTCCATCCATTTGGGCATCTATCATTTCTAGTGCATGCAGCTTCTCTTTATCTCCACTTTCCTTAATCTTCTTAATCAGGTAGTCCAAATTGATGTACGTGGAAACTGAGTTCACTTTAAGGAGAGTTGGATCCAGTTTGACGGCAAGATCATAAGATTTGTCTATCAAACATCCCTTTTCCTTGTTCAAGCTTTCTATTTTCTTTGCAAGAGTTTCTTTAAATTTTTCCTGCTTCTTTGTATCTGTAATATGCTTTAAGTACTTCTTTTTACATTCCTCTTTGGTTATCTGCACTTTCCTAGTCTTGGTGACATACTTCCAGTCTACTCTAACATGTTTTGAAACGGAACATTTCTCGCTACAAACAGTGCAAGAGTTTGATTTCATGACCTCACACTTTTCAGGGTTTGGGGCAATCGTACATCCAGGATAGTGACAGTTTTCCTCACAGACGGTGCAGCAGACAGCTGCTTTAAAGAATGCCTTCTCACCATCAAGGGGTTCTTTAACTTTGTAGACTTCCTCTACCTCAATAGTGAACTTCTTGTTCATCTTAATCTCTTGTTTGTGTTTCTTCAGAGCCTCTTGAATCTGTTTGATTTCTTTCTGTTTCAATTCAGTTAGTCTGATTCTCTCTTGCATGTTGTGGATAGAGGCTGTTGATCTGATGAATGAGTCAAATGTAACATTTACCTGCAGCTGCTCTGCTGAGATCTTTTGAAGAAAATCTGAGAATTGGCTCATTCCATTCTCTGCCAATCTCCATGCTTCTTCTAGATCTGAGCTAGTTTCCTTTGTGCGTGCCTCAGTTTGACGGTTATTAAATGTTAAGTAAAGAGGGCCTCTTCCTAAACTGTAGGTCCCATCAGAGTGTGTGATAAGACCTACGGTATTTTTATCCAAATCTCCACCAAACAGACACATCACTGAATCTGAGACATATGACAGCTGGTTTTTCTTTTTGTTTTCTGTTGCTTTCATCACCACACCGACAGCATGAACTTCATGGATCCTTTCCTCTGACCGAAACAAGTCAAACAATCTTTGATTGATGATAACATCATATTTAAGTCCTACTGTATCTCTATAACCAGGAGTATCGATGATGGTCAGAGAGTAGGGCAGAGTTTTATACTCAAAGATCTCGTACACCATCACATCAGATGTTGACGTTTCATTCCCTTCCTCCACAATCCTATACCAAACCTTATCCTCCCACTTAACTCCCATGGCATAATTGAACAGCGCATTGACCAGAGTAGATTTTCCTGCTCCAGTCTCCCCAACAAGCAAGATGGTTTTATTTGGTCTGTTCAGTATTTTTTCACCAATAGTGACTCTGGTCACAGTGCCAAAGTTCCCTTTTTTTGTTTTCTTTTGGTAGATGGCTGGACATCCTGGCTGGACCAGTACACTGTGGAAAATAAAGAGAATTTAGACATTGTCATCCATAACAAAACATTGCCTTTAGATGAGTTTGAGTCACAATAGGCTATAATTTAAAAGTAGGGTGTGGACTTTAACACATTTATTTTGATAAATTCATTAGACACATTCTAACATGTTAAAAGAATGCAATGAATTGCATGTTCCTGTATACATACTAAAGTCCCAAGCAGGAAACTTTGTGCACCTCAAAATTTGACACACAAGCTGCATCACAGGAGTTTGTCAACTGGTAGTATTCAAGCTTGATCCGAATACCTCAAATCTGTATGGACATCTAAGGAGTGCCATAATAAATGCTATCTGAATTGTGCTGGAAGTTAGGAAGGCACCAAGACCAGGAAAATGTATTATTTGTGTTAGCATCTTGCTAAATGAGAAACAGTGGCCTCAGTGGTGTTTGTTTTAATTGACCTAAATGCTGCACAATCAATCACAATTATTAAGGTATACTGGATGATTTTAGTGAATTTTTTAAAAGACCCACCATTAAAAAAAACACTCTCCATTAAAAAAAAAATGCACATGCACAACACAGTACCCCCTCTTGAGCAGGAACACCTATTAAACGTACATGAGACCACTGACAAGCCCATTTCTCCTCGTTTTACAAGCAGTGATGAAGAATCACTGGAGAAATGGATTTCTCCAAATAGCATGTCAAATTTTGCCTGTCAAGAAGAAAATTTGCAAATGATGTATCAGTGGGAAGCCAGAGCTGTGCTTTCTGTGTACGCCATCACATGAAAGAATCTCCCAAAAACACTCTGGTCTTATTTCTCTCCTCTGAGACCTCTCTATTCTTCTCATTCACTTTGTAGATACTTTTTCTCTTGTGACCCTCGGCTATTTTCAAAGAACCATGCTGAGAAAGATCAGCTTAAATGACAAACAGATAGCTAACGGGATGAGCACGTAGGCTGGCTTTACGTAGACATATCACCAGAATGATTGACAGTTAGTAGGACCCCTTATTTAGATGATCCACTGGGAAAAATTACCGCTCACATCCCCACCATGGACTGTTTTCCTTGCTGCCCTCTGGGAAGAGCTAAAGTGCCGGATGCAGCTGCAGCGCCGTGATTTGCCGAACCCTGATCTAGGGTCCCCATTAAAGGTATAGAGCACAATCTTTTATTTCTGGGTGCATCATCTAATTAAGTGGCCGTCCTAATTGTCAATCATTGAGGTGATATGTTTACGTAAGGCCGTCCTACGTGCTCGTCCCCAGTTAGGTATCTTTTTCTGCGCAGGTGCACTTTCAAGCGTATATCTGTGGTGCGCTACGGTTTCTGACAGTCATTGAGGTTCAGCTTTCTCACCATGGTTCTTTAAAAATGGCTGAGGGTCGTATGTCTGAGAAGTGTATGAGAAGAAAAGAAAGCCCCTCAGAAGAGGCAGATATATCCCGGAATGCTTTGTGCTCTCCTAGTAGTATTATGGGATTAGCTGTCACAGTGGCCTGTTGTCGCCATAGGCAGTCTCTACCAGAGAGCGGCGACTAATAGCAAAGATGCCGCAGGTACCACACAGTGGAGGAGGAGTTACATGACCAACGGGGAGCAAACACCAGTGATCATCTGTCCAAATGGCCAGTTATGCTATGAATTCCACTACATAGTCCCCGCTACAGTATATAGCGATTGAGGGATTTAGGGGTTAGGGTAGACGTTCGGGCAGAGTAAGCCTGTATGAGCTATTACAACTGTCAGGATTCCTGTCTGTGTGTTTCTGTTTCTGGGTTTGTCTCCCTTCCTCCACCAGGAGGCGCCTGGTTCTGGTCGGCCTCCTCACACACCTGTAGATGGTTACCTTGTTAACGGAGCGCACTAAAGCTGATAGTGCCAGAGTGTTTGCCAGTTTTGGGAAGTCATCCTGCAAACTGGATGTTTCGGACCTTCTCTCCCTGGAAGGACCATCTGAGATTCAAACTACGCTAAGGATTTAAACTGGAGGTTTGAATCTACTTTTCCCCAAGAGATCGTTTGAGCCTCACACTGAGCAAGGGATTCATTTCCACTATGACCTGTTCAAGTACCGCAAGAAATCTGAGTGGCAGTCAGCTTCTCCATTCACCTACATACAACTGCATTCTGGGTAAACCCTGTTCGGCCCTCCACTGAATCAGACAAACACTGGAACAACAGCACACAGACTGGTGTCAAAGAGTCAACAACTTCTCTGGAAATGTGAGTCAGCAACCAAATCCTCCTCTTCAAGTTCACAAATCAAATTTCCCACTGAGCCTGAACTAACCGCTGTGTCTTCCCCTCACTTTTCCGTTCCGGTTGAGCAGAGCTCAGAGCAACACTTCATTCTGCATTATCTATTCAATAAACCTGTTAAACCTTTTCCCCTGGTCTTTCTGAATTGGTTTCTCTGCATGTGGGTCCGAGCTCCCTGGTCGTGGAACGCTGGACCAGCTCTACACCCTCAGCAGGGTCCTGGAGGGTGCATGGGAGTTCGCCTAACCAGTCTACATGTGCTTTGTGGACTTGAAGAAGGCGTTCGACCGTGTCCCTCTGGGAGCCCTTTGAGAGGTTCTCCGGGAATACGGGGTGCCGGGCCCTTTGATACGGGCTGTCAGGTCCCTGTATGACCGGTGTCAGAGTCTGGTCCGCATTGCCGGCAGTAAGTCGGGCTCATTTCCGGTAAGAGTTGGACTCCACCAAGGCTGCCCTTTGTCACCAATTCTGTTCATTACCTTCATGGACAGAATTTCTAGGCGCAGCCAAGGTGTTGAGGGGATCCGTTTTGGTGGCCTTAGGATTGCATCTCTGCTTTTTGCAGATGATGTGGTCCTATTGGCTTCAACAGGTCGTGATCTGCAGCTCTCGCTGGATCGGTTCGCAGCCGAGTGTGAAGCGGCCGGGATGGGGATCAGTGCCTCCAAATCCGGGGCCATGGTCTTGAGCCGGAAAAGGGTAGAGTGCCTTCTCCGTGTCAGGGGGGGTGTCCTGCCCCAAGTGGAGGAGTTTAAGTATCTCGGGATCTTGTTCACGAATGAGGAAGGAGGGAAGCGGGAGATCGACAGGCGGATTGGCGCAGCGTCTGCCGTGAAACGGGCGCTGTTCCGGTCCGTCGTGGTGAAGAGAGAGCTGAGTCAAAAGCGAAGCTCTCAATTTACCGGTCGATCTACGTTCCTACCCTCATCTATGGTCATGAACTCTGGGTCATGACCGAAAGAACGAGATTGCGGATACAAGCGGCCGAAATGGGTTTCCTCCGTAGGGTGTCTGGGCTCTCCCTTAAAGATAGGGTGAGAAGCTCGGTCATCCGGGAGGGACTCGGAGTAGAGCCGCTGCTCCTCCACGTCAAGAGGAGCCAGTTGAGGTGGCTCCGGCATCTGGTTAGGATGCCTCCTGGACGCCTCCCTGGTGAGGTGTTTCGGGCATGTCCCACCGGGAGGAGGCCCCGGGGAAGACCCAGGATACGCTGGAGAGACTGTGTTTCTCGGCTGGCCTGGGAACGCCTTGGGGTTCCTCCTGAAGAGCTGGAAGAAGTGGATGGGGAGAGGGAAGTCTGGGCCTCCCTTCTTAGGCTGCTGCCCCCGCAACCCGACCCCGGATAAGCGGAGGAAGATGGATGGATGGATGGATGGATGGGTCCGAGCTCTCGATAAAATCATGACAAGAACAGTAACTTTTAAACAGAGTGTGCATGAGGAGAACGGGCTTATGCATTAAGTAGGCATTCCCTCTCAGGAGAGGGTACAAAGTTGTGCATGTGCATCTTTTTCAAAGTGGAGAGGATGGGTCTTTTAAAAAATTCACGAGAATCGTCCACTATACCTTTAAATGTGGGGTCCATCCCCTACATCAAACCTTAGCACTTTAGCTAACTCTCCCAACCAGGATGATGCACCCCCAATCCCTCACAAAAACAAAAGTGTTATAAACAAAACAAAGCTCTTTTTTTTTTAGCCATATTTAGTATATGTATGATATAATGTTATAACAGTAAATGCCTGGGGTTATTACCCACAGTAGCTTTAACAGTTCCAGATCAAAAAAGGTCTAAATGTACAGTAAATTACAAGGGCTTCAGACTGACATCTCAGGGCTCAATGTCTCATGAACTGTCGTCCACTAAAGTCTCTGATCCTCAGTTTGATCATCTAGATCTTTGGTGTTGGCTAAACCAGCTGCCCCAGTTCCTCTAGTAGAAAAATCAAGTCTGACCTAAAGACACTGATTCTTATCAGATCTTCCACTGTTTTGAATAAAGACTCGATAAGCTGAATTCTAACAGCAGCAAAACAAGGTAAAAAAGGAAAACATCTTGAGGATAATTTCCCAAAGAACGAATAAAAATGCCTAAATAAAGCAGAACAAATAGATCCATCATATGTGTGATAGTAGCCGTAATAATGAGGGTTAACAAGGCAGCAGATAAACCAGTAGAGTCTTAAGAGAAATCTTTAGATTACTTTTCTGTATTAAATCTTCATTCCTGTATTGTTCGCTGAAGAATTTTCATTACATTATCCCTGAAAATGATCAAAAGCGAAAAACATTTCATGCATTTTCGCATAATTTGGCCACTTTTGGCACTATGCCAAAATCGCATGCTTCATCTTATTCAGTCTAAATAAAAGAAATCACTGTGGCGCTGAGCACTTACGCAAAGCAAACAAGTCAATACAGACAGAGCATCAAACAACGCATATTTAACACAAGTGTTGTTTATTCCCTCGTATGTGTGGCACAGCCCATCTGAAACTGTCCCACCATGGGTGATGGAGCAAAAAAAAACAAAGTTTGTGCCCTCTGACAGGTGCGCTTAAAAATAGATATCAAATTCCACTCATATATGCTTTTATTCTCAAACAACTGTTCTGAAAACTGGACCAAAAATTATTTATCATTGTCTCCACCTTTCTTTTCTGTCTCATTGTGCACAGTTCGCAAGTTATCATTTGACTGGGGGGCATTGTTATGTCATTTCTCCTACAAAATTATAGGAGGACTATGTTCATACCTGCTTCTGTTAAGCTGTTGTCAGATATATGGAACATATACGTTCAGTTCTACTGTGAGCAATATGAGGTTCCAACTCCTAAGAGTCTAAAACCTAGTGGCCCCTAATGCCCACAGGTTGGCAGGTAATCGTTATTGGCACTGAATTAGAAATCCTTGTCTAATATTTCATTAATATTTTAACAATGACAGCAGATGTGATTTATTTTCACATTTTAAGCAATAGCTGAGAAATAAAATGAAAATAAATCAATATAAACATATAAGAATAAATGCTTTGACTTTCCTATTCAGTTCAGAGATTATAATTTCATAGTTGTACTCACTCTGTGTTCATCATGAAGTCTGAAACGGAAACCAGTGAAGGTCTCTCAGATGATTAGGAACCTGGGAATTTAGGAAAATATGAAACAGCATTTTTACAGTTAACTTGTGATCAAAAAAATTATGTATTTTCATAGGGGGGAGACTGTCCTCAAACATATTTTTTTTTAAAAAGTAAACCACAGAGTGTCTCATCATTTAGTGAAACATGTTGTTTACTCTCAGGATCCCCTTTTGGCTCTTAGGTCAGCCAATTATTACTTTTTGACATGAATTATCAGGGGGGCAGAAATCAATTCTTCACCTCATGACATTTCGCATACTTCTCCCCCTGGGTGTTTACCACACTGGGCTTTTACAAGGAAAAATAAAAAGTTTAAATCAAATACTTTAATAAAAGTATAATTTCTCAACTCTATCTTTTCTGGAAAAACTATCTAGAAATAAGTAAAAATTCCTTAATAAAGTCTTTTTACTCTTAATTTGAGTAGGTAAACTAGATGTTTGCCAATGGAATGAGTATTTTTACTCTTAAAATAAGATAAATAGATAATATGCACTTGAAATAAGACAATGCAATTTATATTTCTTATTTTAAGTGTAAACTGTCTTGTTCCATTGGCAAAATGTCTCTTTTACCTCCTTAATCCAAGAACAAATGCACTTATTTTAAGAAAAATTGACTTATCTAGATATAATTTTTTTCCAGTGAGAGAAATACTGAACTTTTACAAATGTACAGTAAAAACAGAAAAAAATGTAATCAAATAAAAATGGCCTTTGTTTAGACAATAAATACTATTATAAATATTTGAAACTAAAGGCTCCAAAAAGAAGACAGTTTTGCCATTGAACAATGAATTAAAATTGTATTTCCAAAAGAAATAATAAATAAGCCTTTTGCAAATGATTATCCTGGCATTTGACTTTTAAAATAAATATCTCAGGAAAAATTATAATAATTCAGGAATTTAATCTTCCAACTTAAATATCTATGTTGTTCTTACCTGTGATGAGGAGGATTCATGAAGAGCAAAGACAGGTTGAGTTAAAGGTTATTATACTGTATGCACTGGAGGAGGAGTTTACTGCTTTGGTGGCACCAATTGTGAAAGTAATCCTCCTTGAAATGTTCAGCACACAGATGCTAAACCTCAGGCGCTGTTCAACATGAATGAACCTAATATCACCGCTCAGCTTTCCAATCTGTAGAGACTGGCCAATAGGAACACAGAACCGCTCATGACGCATTGTTCACATTAACACAAAAAGCCCGAATCGGGAGCAAATACTTAGTTTTAAGAGAGGAATCTATTTTCAAGAGAAAATATTCTCACTTTGCAAAAAAAAAAAAAAAAATTGAGAGTAAAAATATATATGATAGAGCTATTTCCCCTTCCGTTCTTGGATAAAATCAACAGTTGTCTTCAGTTTTTGAGGCGGAGATTTTTCCAGAAAAGCAGTGAACTCTTTTCATTCCTTTCTTCATTACCTTATAGGCTGCTTTCTTCTTCTTCTTCACGGTCTTTGCTCTGGCAGTTTTTAAACAGGAAGTAGACAGGCTTCTGATTCTCATACATTTAAGATTTTGAAGGACATTGTTTGGTGTTCTTCCCTTTGCATGGGTGATCAATTTTCCAAATTAATCTTTTATATATTCTATGACAAAATCTTTTCTCTCAAACCCACAGATCTTTATGGTTTTCTTGACTCTAAACCTGAATGATGACTTCTGATGAATGCAAACTATATACATGGCAAAGTTTCGGACTAACTTGTTGGGCCAGTTTTCCTTATGCTTGTTTGTACCCTGTAAAGTAGAACAAAGCAGTGCCTTCAGTTATGATTTCATTATTTAATCATGTGGGTAGTTGAAAATCAGTCATCCATTTGATCCCAGCTGGAGTCAGATCCTAAAAACCAAACATCTCGGGTGCTTTTGGGTTCTTGGATTGCTTAAAGACTAATATAAACAGTTTTTTTTTTAATTAGGTGTGGTTTTCTTTTCTTTTTTTTTTTTGGTTCATGTCATGAGATGGTTGATTTAAACTCCAGCTTTTACACTGTTATTCAGACAGCTTTCTTGAATTGACATCACTTCATGCTTTCGGTTTACAATGTCTGATAAACAAGACAAATCTCTTTTTAAAGGTTGTAAGCAAATCTGCTGTTTACTCTCAATCTAGGACAGTGATGTTCTCCTTGACAGCCACATTAATCTACTGTTTTCCAGTAGCAAAAGTCAGAAGAGATAGTTTTTTTTTTTTATAGAAATCATAGGATAATGTTGAATATGAATCCCTTTGTCATTAAGATACAGTTTGTCAATATATTTATCTATGAACCTCAGCATATTAGTCTTTGAATATAGAATATACTTTAAGTTCTGAGTGTTTCTAGAAATGTCTGTTGATAGAAGTTAGTTCATTGCGGCTGAAAAAAGTAGAAGCTTTTGAGAATAACAGATCATCAAATGTTTATCATCTATGAAGAAACACAAATGTTAAGCTTAAAGGAATAGTACACCCAAAACATGATTAGCCTTCATTTTCTACTCACCCCCATGCTGAACAACACTCTGGAGTACTTTTTTGATATCTCAAATGCATCTGGAGATCTGGGAGGCTTCTTGCTGTCTGCTGACATTCAAATAATGGAGGTCTATGGCGCCCGAAGCAGAAAGGTCCATAAAAGTCCACAAAAAACGTGTCAATATTCCTCCATACTGCTCGTCCAATGTATTCCAAGTGTCCTGAGTGGGTAGCGTCCAGAATTTACTCGAAACGGAGTAATTTAGAATGTTTTTAGAGCATAAACAGTAGTGTATAGGATTTCCTGAAAGCGTGCGCCTGCCAGTTCACAACGCTACGGAAACCGCAGCAGACCAAACCAGATGAAAGTGCGCATTCAGCTCGGCAAAGAACTCATGCTCTTCCTCAACACTGAAGTCCTCAGACATTTTTCTTTCGTTGTTTGTTTCTTTGCACAGGTAAACAGCACATTTCTTCTTCTACGCTTGCATTATCGGCAGAGCAGACGCTGAATGCGCACTTTCATCTGGTTTGGTCTGCCGCGGTTTCCGTAGACTCGTGAACCCGCAGGCGCGCGCTTTCAGGAAATCCTATACACTACTGTTTATGCTCTAAAAACATTCTAAATGACTTCGTTTCGAGTAAATTCTGGATGCTACCCACTCAGGACACTTGGAATACATTGGACGAGCAGTATGGAGGAATATTGACACGTTTTTTGTGGACTTTTATGGACCTTTCTGCCTCGGGCGCCATAGACCTCCATTATTTGAATGTCAGCAGACAGCAAGAAGCCTCCCAGATCTCCAGATGCATTTGAGATATCAAAAAAGTACTCCAGAGTGTTGTTCAGCATGGGGGTGAGTAGAAAATGAAGGCTAATCATGTTTTGGGTGTATTATTCCTTTAACCTGTCAGGTTAGACAGTAAATTATAAAATATATAAGAAATCTATAGCAAGTATCCTCTCCATATGGGTTATGAGTATGTGCTGTATAAACAAAATAAGATGAAAACCTTTTTACTGATGAATGTTTTTATTGAGCAATTTTTCGAAAGAACAAATGTTCTGTAAATGCATCAATCATGTTTTGAACATAGTGTTACGTTTCCAAGTATTTCTAATGTTTCTTGCACAAATTTTGAGAAACCAATTATAACAGATAAATTGTCCATTTGTAACATAAAATGCTATTCTTGATTACCCTCTACCTGCCTGTGCTTCAATTCAACCAATCACAGGATGGGTTACGGTGCCTCAGGAGGTGTTATTCTTCTAACCAGCTGTTGGTTTGAGCCCCTGCTCAGTCTCTCTCCATCATTTGTTTCCCGCCTCGCCTGGCTGCTGGTCAGAGAGCCCAGTGGTGCAGATGTATGGCAGCCTCCTCCAGCGAAGCTATGATGTAACTTGCCACCATCAGCGTGTGATTGATTGATTTTTGTGTGAAGCACTTTATAAATTGCTATATAAGTACAGACTAGTTATCATTAATTACATCAAATGCAAGGCAAAACCTCAATCCTGAACCCTTATAAACATTTTGTTATTGATCATTCAGTTATTAAATGAGCTCAAAACACAATATTTAGATTGTTAATAGTGTATTTCTGTGATTTTATGTTGAATATTTGTCAACTTTTTGTTTTATTCTGTCTACTTGACATGTACATAAACTTTAAAGACACCATATGAGTCAAATTAGTTGATGGACCACCCCCAACCACCCTTGCCAGGAATGTCAACTTCAACTGTTCTGGAAAAATCTGAGTTTGTTTGTTGAAAACCTGTCCTGCAACGTCTCATTCATCCCAAAGGTTCTATCAGGTTGAGGTCAGGACTATTTTTTTTTCCCACACCAGAGGTAATATACACACACCGCCATAGAAGTGACCGGAAAATATGAATTTATTGATTTGGTGACGTTGCCCAATACTCTTGGCAACATAGTGATCTATTATGTTTAAGGAGTTTACGTGTTTTTATTAGAAAATTGATTTTAAACCCAGGTTTCAGCTGATGGATCAAAATAATGATGTTGTTGTTGTTGGATTTTCCGTCGGTCCAAAGAATTATGCTGGTATTTCACGGCTGCTTGGCTTCCTTCATCAACATTCGTTTTTAATGTCTCCAGTTTCTCTGCTTTATCTTTCATTCCAATTTCTCTCATCTTCTCAATCAGGAAGTCCAGGTGGACCAGGGTAGCTGATGAATCAACTTTGAGGGCAATCTTTTCCAGCCTAGTGATGTGTTTGTAGGACTCTTCCAACAGCTGAGACTTCTCTGCTGTCAGATTTTTCATTTCAGTGTCCAGACTTTCTAAATAACTCGAGTTTTTCTCTTTTTCCATTTTATTCTTTTCATCATTTTGCTTCATTTCATTCAGAGTGGTCTGAACTTTTATTGTCTTGGTCACATATCTCCAGTTCTCTTTCGAATGATCAGATGTGGGACACTTCCCAGTGCAGACGGTGCAGTGACCTCCTTTGATGACTTCACATAAGGCAGGGGCCATAGTGCATCCAGGATAATGACAGTTTTCCTCACAGCGTTTACAACACAAAGGTTTTCCAAAAGAAGCATTGGTTTTGATGGGTTCTTTGACTTTGTAGGACTCTTCTACTTCAAAAGAAAAATTTTCATTCTTTTCCATCTCTTCTTTATGTTTCATCAGGTTATGTTGGATTTGTCTGATCTGGTTCTGCTTTTCTTCAGCTTCAATGAATCGTTGCTGCAGGTTTTGGATGCAGGCTGTCAGTTTAATGCGTTCATTGATAACATCAACAGTTGTCTTCAGTTTTTGAGGCTGAGATTTTTCCAGAAAAGCAGTGAACTCTTTCAGTCCTTTCTCCATTACCTTATAGGCTGCTTCCAGGTATTCTTCTTCTTCTGTACGGTCTTCGCTCTGGCAGTTATTAAACAGGAAGTAGACAGGCTTCTGATTCTCATCTTTGGCACATTTAATGGTGGAAACTTCAAGCGTTTGAAGAACATTCTTTGGTGTTCTTCCCTTTGAGTGGGTGATCAGAGTTATGATGTTGTCTTCTATGTTTTTCCCAAACAAAGACATGACTGAATTCAAGATGTACATCAGTCTGTCACTCAATCGATTATCACTCGCCTTCATCACCAGACCCACTCCATCAAGTTCTTCGATTCCTCCTGACCGAAACAAGTACAATAAACTCCTACTGATGCTGTCATCATATTCTATCCCTCTGATGCCTCCAAATCCTGGAGTATCGATGATGGTCAGAGAGAAGGGGATCACTCTACCTTCAAAACCTAAAACTTCATACACAGTCACTTCAGAGGTTTCCTGGCCCGCCTCCTCTGCAATCTGGAAACAGACTTTATCCTGAAACTTCACGCCAATGGTGAAGTTCACCAATGCATTGATGAAAGTGGATTTTCCTGCTCCTGTTTCCCCGACCAGTAAGATAGTTTTATTTTTCTTATGTGAATCTCTTTGACCAACAGTAACTCTGGTCATTGTAGAAGATTTTTCTTTTTTTCCTTTCAGTTGATAAACAGATGGATCTCCTTCCTGGATCAGTGTACTTTCAGAGATCAACTGGTCCAGTGCAGATTCCCTAAAAGAAGAACAGACTTACAATGTTGACTTAAAGTATAGAAATATTGGAATAAGTGTTAAATGAATAAAAAGCACTCAGATACACATAAAAGGTGCTGAAATAAATGAACTAAAATTGCTACTGTACAGTAAAGTCAAATATGTAAAGTTAAAAAAGCATTGAGAGACAGTAATCTCTTTAGTTTTGCATCACTTGATTCAATATTTTCTTTATGAATCTTTTATTTTCAATTTTCAGCAACTTGTTGAATAGTTTTATGGTTTCAATTTAATTTTTTTTCTGGCATTTTAATTAGACAATAAGGTTAATTTCTTGAAGGAAGTTTAAGTTTATCCCATGACAAACTGTACTGATTACAGAATGGTATTTCAGGCTAAAACAGTCAGAGAGTCCAGAGAACTTTATCCATTGGAAAGAAGTAATACAATAGATTTCCAGCATTTCCAAAGGGTGGTATGACATTTTTTAGTTTATTTAGAACATTAAAAGAAATAAAAAAGCAGAGAGTTAAAATATCAGTAATATGTTTAATCAGAGAGCTTTCTTAATTTATTTAAGATATTTATATACGTTTTAACTCAGGTCCAGTAAAATGTAATAAACCTGTAACATAACATGTCTAGATTTCCAAAACATAATTTTTTCATATTTAATAAGAAATAATTACATAATTTTTTTAAAAGAAACTAATTCCATCCCTTATCTCAATAGTCACATATTCCATTGGACATTGTGGACTATTATCCATGCTGGTTTTCGTTGAACATTGGTGGAGGAAGATGCTGTTGCACTGTTTCACATCCAGGAAGACGTCAACAGCAGAAACAGCTGATCAGTTATATGAGGTTTGCCACATCATCTCCCATTTTGCACATTAACCCTTTTTTACCAAAGCCAAAAAACAACCTCAAACTAGCATAATTTTTTTTTCGTCCATTCAGTTTGTTTTTTGTTTTTTTTAGAATCTTTCTGTTTCCATCAAGCATTTCTCAGCAAAGCATTTCTGGCATTAGAAAAAGCTGATAATAACGCACCTACAGATCCTCCATCCTCTTACCCTGTGGCATTAGAGAGAACAAAGACTGCATTGCTAAATGGTCTTCATTCCTCAACCCTTGATGAAGTTACGATGTGGCACATTTGACTCGATTCAACTCAGGATAATTTTATAGTGCAATTGCAAGCGTGACATTTTCTATTAGTTGTAGGGAGCACAGAGATTCATATCTCAGTTTGAGTACAATACCACATCTTCTAGAGCAGGGGTCTTTAACATTTTCCAAGTCAAGGGTCCCCAAACTGATGGCGAGATGGAGCGGGGACCCCCTAATTATATATATTATATGAAACTGTGTTATATCAAACTGGCCCTATAATCACTCTATTACAGATGGAGTAATGTAATGAAAGTAATTTCACCCTGGGATTATTAAAGTATTTCTGATTCTGATTCCTGGTTGATGGGACAGGTGTTATGAATGAAACGGTGTCCAGCTTGAAAGAGCTCCTGCGTGTCGCTGAATGTGTGCATTGATGACTGAAAGACATCTTCTGCCTCCATTTATCTGTTTAGTGGGTTGAATTCATGTTAATGTGGATTTAAAGACATTTCAATTAGTGGAAAAAATTGCAGGGGGGAATATAAAAAAAGGTTAAATCAACCAAAATGTTCGCGACCCCCATGCAGTACCTCCGTGGAAGCCCCTAGGGGTAGCGGACTCCTTGTTAAAGACCTCCGTTCTAGAGAATTTCCCGTACAGTTGCCTAAACTGAACCTTTCATGCTTTACCAGGACCTAGATGATGGAGAATCTTCACAGATAAGAACAATTGCAGTTATAACCGCTCTAAATTAAACTCTACATTGAAGCTGAATTCAAGCAGGCTCTGATTCTGAGGCCAAATTTATTAGCGCTCTTGGATTGCCTTCAAAAACGTCACAAAATCCTCAAGATCATATTAAACATTGTTAATAGTAATAATGCCAGTATTGGACCTTGGATCTGTTTAAATAGATATTATTAAGTTTAAGGTTCAAATTTTTGCTTACATACCTCACCGCTGAGGACGGTAGAGAGGAGCAACCAACTGCTAGGTTAGATTGAGGTAAAGGAGCAGGAGAAGGAATCAGGGGAGTAGAAGATGAAGGCGGACATCGGGATCGGCTAACCTTGATTGGAGTTTTACTGGAACAAAGAGAAATAAAGACCATCTCCTCCTGATCAGGGTTCCATGCTTTGAAGTTCACTTTAATGTCCTGCTTGTTTTATTTAATATAGAGGCGGAAGTATGGGGTGCCATTTGTAAAGTTAAGCAGTCAGAAATTAGGAGCAATATTTATCATTATTTAGGGTTAACATGATAACATTTAACAAGATAAATGAAATGACACCGATTCTTTCTCATTATTGTGGTTCTGATTGATGTTTAGAGATAGTAAATGCAAGTACTTGACGTTAAAATTAAATTATTCGATCATATGTTTGCATAGAAAAATATTTAGTGTTAGAGGTGAGATAAGATGGAAATTCTGTCTGTGAAGCAGCACTTAGTTCAGACAAAAACAAACACAGAGCATCCAGAAGACATATTTCAAGCAAACCAATTTTATTGAGCTACCATTATGTACAGAAAACTGACGACTCATACAGAACAGTTTGGAAAAATAGAGGAATTATGTTGAGGGAAGAGTTTAATCATTGATATAAGAAATACACCATAGTCTTACATTCTAAATTCAGCATACTTATTAAAACAATAGAATCTCACAACTATATTTTTCAATAAATCAAAATGCTTAAAAGTTTCAAATAATGAGATAAACAAAGCCACCATTTTCTAGTTAAAGTAAAGGCAAAATGTTCAGTTCTTCTGCAGAAAAAGCCATTTTTATTGCATTGGGTTAATTAATGTTTGATCATTAGAAAATATACGAATAAAGACAACAGCTGAAAAAAAAATATCCCGACAGTAAAATGCAACATTTGAGGAAAATTACGAGTAAAGAGGTAATAATTAAAGTGAATATGTGATCACATTATAAAGATAGTTTAATTTATAAGGAGCTCTCTGTTGAAGCTTTATTGTTTGCCCTGCCATGGTGGGGTTGTGATTTTTCTTTGTTTTTACTCATTTCCTGATGTTTTGCTCCACATATACTGCAGCGCTAATTTAGTTCCTTCATCCATCTGGCTTCTCATCTCCTCCAGCTTCTCAACCTTCTTTGTTTCCCTTATTTCCTTCAACTTGTCAATCAAAAAATCCAAGTGAATATAAGTGGCGACACAATTCGCTTTAAGAGCGATCTCCTCTAGTCTGATGACATGTTGGTAAGATTCCAAGACAAGCTGGATCCTCTCTGCTTTGAGTTTCTGTATGTCGTTAGCGAGACTTTTTACGATATTGAACCTGGTTTCAGGGTCAACCTCGCCTGCCTTCAGCCTTTTCTTAACCTCTATGGTCTTCTTTTCCTTTTTTATCTTTATTACATATCTCCAGTTTTCTTTCACATGAGCCGACGCAGGACATTTTCCAGTGCAGACAGTGCAGTGGCCTTTTTTGAAGACCTCACAATGTTGAGGGCTTAGACTGAATGTACAGCCGGGGTAGTGGCAGTTCTCCTGACAGACGGTGCAAACCATTGCTTTCTCAAACAAACTGTATTTCAAAAAACCTTTACTTTTAATTGGCACTTTTTCTTTGCAGACAACATCAACCTCAACAGTGACCACGTCAGATTTCTTCATGTCTTCTACTTGTTTTACCAGAGCATCGTGGGTTTGAACGAGTTCCTTTTCCTTCTGCTCAGTTAACAGGATTCTCTCCTGCAGGTTCTGGATGCAGGCTTTCAGGCTGATGCGTTCGTTCAGGACATCCGTGGTCATCAACAGTTTTTGGGCTCTTTTCTTCTCCAAGAAGCCTGTAAAGGCTTTCATTCCTTTCTGTGAAATTTCATCAGAAACTTTAAGGAATTCCTCGTCTTCTGATCGGTCTTCAGCTTGGGAGTTATCAAAAAGGAAGTAAATTGGTTGATTCTTTTCATTTTTGGCACATTTTATATGTGTAGCTTCAAGCGCTTGAAGAACATTCTTGGGTGTTCTTCCATCAGAATGAGTAATGAGAGCCACAATGCTTTTCTCAAGGTTCTTCCCAAACAGAGACATGACTGAATTGAAGACGTATGACAGGCGATCATTCACTCGATTGTCCGTGGACTTAACCACCAGACCAACAGCGTGAATCTCGTTGATCCCGTCATCAGATCGAAACAAGTCAAACAATCTTTGACTGACAATAATATCTTTTTCTATCCCTCTGGTGTCTCCAAATCCAGGCGTGTCAATGATGGTAAGAGAGAAAGGAAGAGTTTGATCCTCAAACCCAAAGATCTCGTAGACAATCACATCTGATGTTTGACTCTCAGTCTGCCCTCTCGGTTCGTCTTTTACGATGTGAAACCATATTTCATCGCTAAATTTGACTCCAATGGCGTGGTTGACCAGAGAGTTAATAATGGTAGACTTTCCTGCCCCTGTTTCACCAACCAACAACACGGTTCTATTTGCCTTGTTCAAGTTTCTCTTTCCTAGGGTCATTCTAGTCAGAGGTCCAAAGTCCTCTTGTTTTGGCTGTAGTTGGTAGACAGCTGGGGGCCCTGATTGGATGAGGAGACTTTTGGAGATGATGTCCTTGAATTTAGACTGGGCAACCCTGTAGAAAAAACAATTAGATTTTACTAGTTTAAATGTATTTTTCCCCAGTGCTAAGAACTAAATTGTATTACTGAAAAAAATAATATATATTGAAACATGATTAAAACTTACAAATTAAACTTTTGATTGAGTGATTGTGTTATAAGGTTAGGGTAATGGCAATGATACATTTCTAGTCAAAGATAAGATACCAAAATAATCATGACAATTATAAGAAGAGTATTAGTCATGTAATATTGTTTTTGAATAAGTTAGAATAGTACACAAATATTTTAATTGCCCCACTTTGGAGAAATATAGGTTTATTGGTGGCAAAGCACATAGGCAAATATAAGCATCCAGGTATTCACAACTAATAAATATCGCAAGGTTTAAACAGACTGTACAAAAAGAAAAAACAAAATTTCTCTTTTAAAAGATGCTTCTGTTGTTTCTTATTATAACAAAGGACAAACTCCTTGCTCAAAGGAAATCTAATTTAAATCAGTATTTGCTATTTGCATCAATACCTTTTTTTTCTTCAATGTAATGGTATAATTTATTGTGGCTTGTCATGATACCTGTTGGTAGAAGTTGCCCTAGCATTACTCCTAAACTAATCAAAATAATAAAACAAAGTTTTCTGAGTGTTAAACCTGTGAGGCAGCAGACAGAGACAGGGAGTTAGCATGGTTAAAATTTACGCTGGTAAATGTCTCAGAAGCTGGGTCGATGATGATTTTTTTTAAATGAAATGTGTCTATATTGTCTTAGAGCTGATATTGGGTTAAAAAAAGGAGCATTAGCAATAATTGTTATAGGTGGTGCAGACAGTTAACGTGTTAAGGGAGAAATTCTTGTCAGAAGCAAGATAATGGATACAAGATAATCCAGACAGTGGTCAGAGAGTCTTAAACTAGGGTTGGTAATCCCGTTCAGCAACACTTTTTCCTATATTGAGTGAAATGTTCCTTCCATCCTGAGAGTAGTCAATACATTGTGTGTTCAGGAAAAGGAACGAAAAATTCAGACATCCGTGAGAGCTGCAAGCCAGTGAAAAACCCTGCCCAATTCCTACCATTTGGTCCGAATGAAAAGGAAAAAAAAAACATTAGATGCATACATTTCTGTCTCTCCTCATCAGGTTTGGCCATTGCATTGAAATATTCTCAATATTGTCAACCTGAGTCCTAACCGATTTATTTTGTTTTTGCCTCTCGGCAGGAAGTCATCCTGCAAACTGGATGTTTTCGGACCTTCACTCCCTGGAAGGATCATCTGAGCTTCAAACTGAGCTGGGGATTCAAACTGGAGGTTTGTATATACTTTCCTCAAAGGGATCGTTTGAGCTTCACACTGAGCAAGGGATTCATCTCCACTATGACCCGTTCAAGTACCGCAGGAAACCCAAGTGGCAGTCAGTTTCTCCTTTCACCTACAAACAACCGCATTCTGGGTAAACCCTGTTCCGCCCTCCACCGAATGAGACAGACACTGGAACTACCGCACACAGACAGGAGTCAAAGAGTCAACCACTTTTTTGGAAACGTGAGTCAGCAACCTAATTCTTCTCTTCAAGTTCAGGAATCAAATTTCCCACTGAGCCTGAACTAACCACAGTGTCTTCCCCTCACTTTCCAGTTCCGGTTGAGCAGTGTTCAGAGCAACACAAGATTCTTCATTATCTCCTCAATAAACTTGTAAGGTTGGTATTGCTAAAAATAGCATGCTACTTTTAAAACTTTAAATGGTATTATAATTTACTTACAGAGGTTAGGTTGAATTCCAAGATGTATTGAAAGAAATGGCTGAGTCCTGCTGAGTTGTGCTGTGAGATGTGCGTTTAAGTTTGCGCGGGAGGGCGTAGCTTTGAACGAAGGGGGAAGTGCTGCTTTCAAATCTTTCTAGCTCTCCAACATAACCAACCATAGCTTTAACCTCACATGCACGGTGTCACAGTGGGTGGCGCTGTTGCCTTGCAGCCAGAAGGTTTGGGGTCCGATTCCTTTCCGCTTGGAATTTGCATACTCTCCCTGTGCATGAGTGGGTTCTCTCCAGGTACTCCAGCTTCCTCAAGCAGTCCAAAAGCATGACTGTTAGGTCTTCTCTAAATTGTGTGTGCAGGGCTGTGTGTCTTTGAGTGTCTCTGCGTTGCTCTGTGACAAACTGGCAATTTGTTCAGGGTGTACCCCGCCCCTCGCCCATAGACTGCCAGAGATAGAAACCACAGTATCCTGAGGGGGGCAGCGATGTACCCAGAGGCACCTGGCCTGCATAAAAATATGTTTTTGATCGCTTTATTAACCTAGATAGGTATTAACTAACCTAGAATAAATAAAAATAAAAAAAAAAAAATAAAAAAGAAAGAAGGCTTGCTGTTGCAGCAGATTCAGCGTCACGTCTGCTAGCAAGTTTGTTGATCGTATCCGTGGGTGTGAACGCAGGGAGGATCCATCTCACTCACCTTCTGGCTCACCCTATGATGGGGATGAAAACTAGAGGAGAACTGACGTTTTCCTCCTGTGAACCCCCTTTATACCAAAACGCTGTCAATACGCCATTAAACAGTAGCTGGAAGTTAGAAACACCTTCACTGATCGTCTGGAACACGTCAAATCCCTTTCCCTTGATTAAGTGAATCCGCTACTGCTGCTGAATCTGCAATGAACTCTTTTATAATTGTATTTTAATGTACTTTTATATTGGTATGTGTGAGCAAGCCATAGGCAAAGTTCTGCCATCATTATATATGGTAGATAATAAAGTTTTTTCTATTCTAAATACGCTGATATGCATTGGAAATAAGTTCTTTTTTCTAAGTTATGCACAAGTTACTCATAGGGTTTGGATAAGCTGGACACCATGATTTATGAGTAACTTACACTTCATGTATGTCAACGATCAGCTAACTTACCTGTAACTTATGGCCCGCGTATGAACATACGCTGGCATAGGCCGGAAAATTTTGCGCATGCTCAAGATTATCGTCGTACTTGCCGTATGTCCATGTGTGCCAGTGTGTTTCAGCATTCTTTAGCGTGCTCATAACTTACGCAAAACGTACCCATAACTTATCCAACGTATGTCAGTATATTTGCCTTACGTCAGGAACACGCTGGCTAAATCGTCAAGGTGTGACAGGGCCTTCAGTAGTACCAAGTTGGGAGAAACAGTAGCAGCCCGATAATCATGTCTTATATAATGAACATTATAGCAAAATTAATTTATATGTGTAAAAATATTACATTAGATTACAATGCATTATTTTAAGATGCAGTTTTGCTGTTTGCTGTCTGTTTTGTAACACTAATTAACAGACTTGTTAAATGTTTGAGTTTTCTTGCTGGTCGGTTCTCCCATTTAAAATCATTAAACAATATCAAGATTAAATGATATATTTGGACAGATAACTTTTCTAAGACTCAAAAATAAAAGTTTAGTACTTTAGTTTGACTTGACTTGACTGAAGACACTTTGTGAAACGACTTGACCTTGTTCCAACACTAATATCCATTAAGTTTTTCTACACAGAAATTAGAATTCCACTCATCTGTGCAAAAACAGTCATAAAACAAAACTGGATTTTTGTATAAAAAAGTATTAGTGCTTAGATTATAATAAAGTCAGCATTTTGACATCCAGGTCATTGAGAGGAGCCATATGTTTGTTTGTTTTTTTCCTTGTGGTGACATTGTGCAGTTGTATAGATATGTAGAAAGAAAAAAAAAGACATGCCCCCAAGGAGGCAGGAGGGGGAGCTATACGTCATAACCTGGAGCTTATCTAAAGGCTGCAGTATACAAAGGTGCAGCACCCTGAAATGATTAAGAGAACAATGTCTAAAACAAGACCAGGATAGATACTGTACACTGCATGAGAACTTTCATCTCACATAATGAATAAAGTAAATGCTTTATTATTAAATGTTATTTCTGAGTCATTAAAAGAGGTGATTGCAGATTACATTGCTATTGGTGTTAAAAGTTAACAGGTTTACTCACGCTCTTTTCATTGTGAGGAGGTGGTTCAAAGATCTTCACAGGAAAGATGTCAAAACACGTCTGAGCGTCTAATGAAACAAAATCAAACAAGTGTTACTGCTGATCTTATATGGTACATTTCAGATATTCATATCTTTATCATTTTCATCCAACAGATTCTGTACTTTATGTAAAAGTTGAATAAATGTGAATAAAGATGTATTTGTTAATATAAAATAGAAGTTGCTCTTTGATTAAAAGAAATTATAGCCAAAAATGTAATAACAAATGAATGGAAAGGAAAACAAAATTTCCCAACACCAACGTTATCTAATTAGTCTGTATTTTATCAAAACAAACAATTACCGTGCTGCTTCCTTGTAAGACTCAGCGAGGCTTAGTGAGGCGGAGAAGGCAGAACGATCTGACAGGACTCACCTTTTAAAGCTTTTATAGCGACTCTAAGGGGAGGAGGAAAACACTGATCACATGGTTTCAAGCTAAACCTGAATTTGTATCATGCAGTGAAATCTTTAACAGAGGAAAGCTACAACATGTCTTACAACATTTCACCTAATTAAAAAAAACAACAGATTGCAGAGGGACATGGAACAAAACCATGTAAAATAAAACTATACTGTAGGTGTTTTTTTGCTATTTAATGCTTAATTATCTTCTGATAATTAAGCAGCAGAATAAATACATTACATTCTCTGTTTTATTAATTGTAATGTTGACTGTAGGGAATTCATTTACTATTATATTAGGGAGAAAAATAGAATAATCCACCAGAAAGAATCTCATTAATTAAGTTTAATTCCCTAGGAGGCAGTGTTAGGCAGGTTACCTTAATGTATCTAAATACTATTGCAAGTTATTCTCATAGAGTACCAACAGTATGTTGTATGTATTTTTATATTTTTAATGCATTGCTTTAAAAAATTTAATGTTGTTACTTTTTAAATAAAGTTGATTCTGTTGGTTTTTAAAAATTCCTTTTTTGAAGGTAACACAGAATACATCTCAGACTTAATAATATTATTTTAGCGATAGTTTCAAGGTGTTGCTTTATTGTATGTCTCGTACCATGTCTTTCGGTTGTGCTGTTCTTTTTTTCATCTCGTTACAGGTGATGAAGCAGATTGAAAATGTTTTGTCATTATCTCCTTTCTATCTCCTCTTCCTTTCAGCTTTTCTCTTTTTTTTCCTTTTCTTCTGTTTTTCTGCTCTATTTACATTGCAGTGTCCATATAAACTGTAAAACTCCCTGCATAATTATAATAAAGCAATTTATATGCATGAAACAAGTGGCAATTGCCATACTGCTCCACTTGTGAAAGTAAAATCTGTTGGGCTCTTTTTCGCATCAAGACAATTATTCTTATTGCCACATTGCCAAGTTCTTCAGAGCTCCCATTTTAAGAGGCATCAGACGGGTTCATCCCCCCCCCCCCTTCAATATTAGCTTTTTACATTGAATCATCTGCAACTGCCTTCTATTGAAATATTTTTATGAGATAGAAATTGACAATATTATCTATTAAATGTAGGCTAAATTCTTCACAACTTTTCACAATGGTATAGTTATCAAAATCACACAAGGGATAGAGATAAAGAGGAAGAAAAGCCTGCAGGGGTCAAATTGTATGATGTAGAAATGAGCTGATATCCTGAGTGTATGCTAAAATGTTTTGCTCCACTCTCACTCTCTTTCTGTTTCCTTGTTGTATTTTTAGTCCCCTTTTGAGGAAAAAAAGAGCAGAGTGTGTTTTCTCTGGAGGTAAACCCACTTTCACTACCTGAATTCTTTCAGGTAAGTCCCTCCTAACTAAGCTCATTCATATCCAGTTAATATGTACTTCATAAAGGTGGTTTTGTACTTTTATTTTAGAAGGTGCATCCTCTTTATCATTGTTTTCTTTTATTTTTTCCTTTGGTATCTATGTGTTAAAGTTTGACATCTGCACAAACCTTATAACTAATATTGAAGATTTTTGATTAATTGTAAGGTTTTCCTATTATAACACAATTTCATATAAAAGGAAACACCCACTGTCAATCAAGGGTATAGTGCCTGCAGAAAAAAGGTACTTCTTTAAATGTCCCTGGGAACAATTGCTTTTTGAATAGAATATGGGTTTGGCTCTATGTTGGTATGTGTTCATACTTGATTTAAGTTGAACAATAACTGGGTGTATACGTGCGCTGAAATGAGGTTTTGGTTTCTCTTTTAGACTGTTAATGTATAAATATGGATTCATTTCAAGCTGAACAACATTTTTAAAGTCAATTGGATTTCCATGAAATACAGCTTTGACTTCTATGAAATAAGTTCAAATAAATAGGTTTTAACAAAACCACTTAGTGAAACAAACAAACAAACAAGCAAATAAATAATAATCCAAAAACAATTCAGTTAAATGCTCCATGAACTGATGCAGTGCACAGGTTAGATTTTTACTAAAATTAAAGTTTTTTTGTGGTTTGGATTGAAATCACTACACGGAGAGAGCCTGGAAAACTGAGATATATACGAGGAATAGACTGCATGTTTTGACAGAAATCATGCATATACCAACCCAGTATCTAAAGCATCATTGAAGTTTGAAAAAATTTGAAAAACAAGCACGAAAAAACATAATCTTTGTTATGCAAACACAGAAACTCTAGACTTATACAGTGGAAACTTTTAGCCTTAAAGAAAAAAAATGTCTTATTCATTTCAATGTTTTATGACAAAATTGTATTTATTTGCCCTACATGTTGCTGCATGTACAAAAGCATATGGCTGATTTTAGTTATGATAATCTGTTCTATTCAGTGTGTTAAAAAATTATTTTCGAAATTATAAACCTGAAAGGTCCCATGCATGTTATGACGATTTGCACTGAAATGCTCTATGGAAGAACTAGCATTTAAATAGAGAATAGAATAGAATTCAACTTTATTTTCATTACATTGTCACAAGTACAAAGCAACAAAACTCACTCTCTGCATTTAACACATTCCCTTGGGGAGCAGTGGGCTGCCATCGTGCCGCCTCGGGGAAGCAGTGTGGGGTTAGGGGTCTTGCTCAGGGACCCAGAGTAGCAGTCTGTGGGAGTGGGGCTTGAACTGAGAACCTCTGGGATCCCAGCGCAATGCCCTAGTCAGTAGGCCACCACTTCCCCATAAAAGATACATTTGCATGTAACTCATCCCCTTGGGGACTTGTGGATTGCCATTGTATGGTGCCTAGAGAGCAGTGTGGGGGGTTAAGGGTCTTGCTCAGGGACCCAGAGTGCAGGCTGTGGGGATTGAACCGGGTACTTGCAACCCTCTCATAGCACAAGTGCACTGCTCACCACAAGGCCAGCACTCCCCCCAGAATAGAGAATAGAATAGATTCCACTTATTTGTCTTTACATTGTCACAAGTACAAAGCAACGAAATTCACTCTCTGCATTTAACTCATAGCTTTGGGGAAACAGTGGGCTGCCATTGTGCAGTGCCCGGGGGTTAGGGTCTTGCTCAGGGACCCATATTGGCAGTCTTTGGAAGTGGGGCTTGAACTCAGAACCTCTGGGATCCAAGCGCAATGCCCTAGCCACTAGGCCACCACTCCCAAACAGAGTCTGTGTTTGGTACGTGTTCATAATTATTGACATAATTTAAATAGAACAGTAACTGGGTGTATACTTGTGTTAAGAATCTGGTTTGGTTTCAGTGTGTTCAGATCTGATGAGGCGTCAACGGTGAGTGGGTGGATTCACATAGAATTCCTATGCAAACACGCTGGGAGGCAGCCAGCAGTGAATCCCACACAGTGACTACTCTACTCTCACGTCGTGCTCCTAGATAGAGCTGAGGTGTCAAACAGCAGCACCTCATGGAGAGAGGGAAGTGGTTTAATCGAGCAGAACTTTTCTATGGAATTGTGACACTTTACCCACATTCACCCACTTTACCCACATTCACCCAAGCAATTGTCAAGTAACAAACATAATATTGTGGTGATCATTTGTGGTGAAGTAGCAAAATGAAATGTAAAATTGCTTAACATAGCTTACCTAAAGCTAAGGAGTGATGCCACATGATATCAATGAGGTGTACAGTAATGCCGAGGTAGTTATCATTATTGACAGCTCTGCGGTGGTCCCCCGTCAGTGCTACCGTGGGGGTCTGAGCGCCTCCGACAGAAATAGTATAGGCACGATAATAATCTGGATGAACTGACTGCAATTATTACGTTTTCAGGTGGCCTTTCTCACTTAAAAACATATTAAAACTACTTTATTCCCACTGATCACAGCAAATATAGCTGCAAGATTTAGATTATTT